GGGGTGGGCTTCTTTGCTAGTTACCAGGATGTGGGGGGTGGAGTGAGGGGAGGGAAAGGTGGAACACAGGATAGGGAATAGACACAGGATAGCTTGGTTGCTGAGGGGGATGGGAGGAGGCAGTACACAAGAAGGGGGATAGGAATGGAAGAACAAGGCGTATGGGAGAACCGTTAGACAAGTTCCCTGAGCTAAGTGGGTCAGAGGTAAATGATGTATGCACAACCTTGGAACAACAGGACTTCGGGATACAGGGCATGAGATATGGTTTGAAACGGTAAAAGAAGGGAATAATGTTAAGATGCTTGCCTGTCTTTTTTGAATCTTGGTTTCCCTTGCCTACCACTGTGAAACAGCCAAGGGGGGTGGGGGGGGGAGACTAGCCAGAAACATCACAATAGAAAGCTTATAAGTCCTTCTTCAGCCTAAATCTGATTGGGATACCTTAAAGGGTGCTAGAAGTTGCCCAGCAAAAAAGGCTTCCTGTGGAGATTTGCATTGCTTAAGACCATTTGTGGAATCCAGATCCCCATCCAGAATCATCTGAGGTGGAAATTTCCACATGAAAGGACAAGCAGACTAGCCTGGAGTGACTAGAAGAACAGAAGCTACTTTGTGAAAGAAAGATCAGCAGGAAAAAACAAAAAAAAACAATTAACAGCAGTCTGACTGACTACTACAATAACAAGAAAACTGTTTGCCTAGAGACATCAGGCAAGTGGTCGGATCGCCTTACATGACTGAGACTCAAGGGGAATAGATGAGCAGGCATGAGGTCTAGCTGGTGACCACATTGGTCACCAATGAAGGGAAGAGGGGGAAAAACAGCAATGAAGTTGGGACCACATTCAATAGACTCCTGTGAACCTGGGTAGAGACCTGGTTGGCCAGCAATATGGCAAGACCTAGGGACTCCTGGGTCCAGAGGCAGTGACAGGGCCACAGAAGACTAGAGAGGATTCAGCTGATATGAAGTAAGGGGAGATGCACAAGAACACCCATACTTGCAGATAGTTAGTACCCACTTGACATGGCTTCAATAGCTGGATGATCAGAACTTGACTAGAAGAAAGAAGAGGAAAAAAAAAAAAAAGAGTTCAATGAACTTTACCTATGATTATGGATGTAGTAGCTCAAAAAAGGTAACAAATCTTTACAGTGAGTATCACTCCCACCCTCTCGGTACACAGGCTTGACAACTTAGACATAGGCTACTCAAAATGTGGGGACTGAAAAGGCAAGAAGTGACTGGTTTACAAGATTTCAATAGGGAGCCTAGTTCCAGACAGGGATGGGGAAGGTAGAATCTCCACTGAATGGTTTCCAATCTGTTGGGATGGAACTAATAAAAGGAGATGGGGATAAGACCGTTGTGGTACAATAGTGAGTAATTGTTATCAGGACTGACTGTGAAGGATGGAAATGTAAAGATAGATATTTTGTAACAAAAGGAGGGCAGTGACTGATTTTGCAGTCTAGGAGCAGAGGTCCCTGATCAAGCAAGAAGAGTAGTATGCTAGACTCTACCCAGAGAAGCAGTGATGCCAGAAATGGAGGCAGAAACAATGACATGGACAGATGGAGGGACTGGAAACACTGGATTCACAGAGGGAGAGGGTCTGTGTGCTGACAGCCAGGGGGCAGGCCTGTGGGGTGTATCCTTTGGTTATTTGATGATGCATGGAGAGGATTATAATCATTTCAATGAAATGAAATATGATAGGATGAATGTAAAACTTATGTTTTCTCATGTAAACCCACATAATTCACAAAAAAAGTTAAAAAAAAAAAAGAATATCATACAGGAAGAAAGCAAAAGGTCATTAATAAGATAAGAAAGAAAGAACATAGCAAAATGGATGTAGGAACAGACCCTGAAACTTGCTCAACAGAGTAGAGATGCAAATGCAAATGGAAGCAATGAGGAAGTAAAAGAACTGAACTCTAGAAAGTCTCAAGGGTCAGTTTGAGAAGACAAAGTCAAATATTACACCAAAATGTGCAAGGATTGGAGTTAGAAAACCAAAAAGGGAAGAACACTATCAGCATTTCTCAAGCTGAGGGAACTGAAATACAAATTCAAGCCTCAATTTGCAATATTGAAGGATTCTATGGGTAAAATATTGAACGATGCAAAGAGCACCAAAAGAAGATGGAAGGACTACACAGTCACTGTATCAAAAAGAAATGGTCAAGCTGATAAGAAGAGAGGACATATGCACAAGAACACCCGTACGTGCAGATAATACCCACTTGACCTGCCTTCTATGACTAAATGATCAGAGCTCAACCAGAAGAAGCTAGAAGAAGGGGGAAAAAAAAAAGTGTTATCTGATACAGGGGGAAACAAATCCTTACAGCAAGGATCATTCCCACCCCCTCCACATAGAGAGTAGATAGGGATGGGCAACTTGGACATTGGCTACCCAAAGTAGAGGGGGCTACAAAGGCAAGAAGTGACTGGCTTAAAAGCTTTTAAGAGGGAACCTAGATCCAGAGGGTGCTGGGGAAGGTAGAATCTCCAGTGAGTAGTATCTAATCTGTCTGGGCGGGGCTGATGAAATGAAATACAGATAGGCCTTTTGTGATACAATAGTGAATAATTGTTATCAAGTCTGATTGTGAGGGTTGGAAATGTAAAGGTAGACGTTTTATAGCAAGGAGGGGAGCAATTAACATTTCAGTCTAGGACTGGAGGTCCCTGGGACCATCAATGGAGAAGAGCAGAGAGTGGGACCCTACCCAGAGAAGCAGTGACGCCAGAGAAGGAGGCAGAGATGATGATGTGGAGAGATGGAGCAGCTGGAGACTTTAGATCCAGAGAGGGAGAGGGGCTGTGTGCTGACGACCAGGGTGCAGGCTTGTAGTGTATACCCTTTGGTTGGTTGATGATGCATGGAGGGGATTGTGACCATGGAAATAAAATGATATACAATAGAATGAATGCAAAACTAATGTTCTCCCATGTAAACTATCACATAGTTCACAATAAAACATTAAAAAAAAAAAAAAGAAAGAAAGAAATGGTCAATGTTTAGTCATATATTGAGGTAGCATATGATCTAAAGCCAATGATACTAAAGGAAGAAGTCCAACATGCATTGAAAGCATTGGAGAAGAAAAAGGCACAAGGACTTGATGGATTAAAAGCTGAAATCTTTCATCAAACTGATACAGCATTGGAGGATCTCACTCACCTAAGCCAAGAAATTTGGAAGACAACTCCCTAGCCAGCTGACTGGAAGAGATCTGTATTTGTGCCCATATCAGAGAGAGTTGACCCAATGGAATGCAGAAATCATTGAACAATATTATTAATATCCAATGCAAGTAAAGTTTTACTAAATACAAAAAAGGCTGCAATACATTGTCAATGAACTTTCAGAAGCTCAAGTCAGATTCAGAAGAAGATATGGAACAAGTGATATCATTGCTGATGACAGATAAATCGTGGCTGAAAGCAGAGGATACCAGAAAGACATTTATCTGTTTTTTATTGACAACCTAAAGGCTTTCAAATGTGTATATCATGACAACCTATGAACAACATTGCAGAGAATGAGTATTCTGGAACACTTAATTGTGCTAGTGATGAACCTGTGCATATACCAACAGGCAGCTGTTTGAATAGAACATACAGAATGGTTTAAAATAATGAAAGTTGTTTGCCAGGTTAGTATTCTTTCATCGTACTTATTTACTATGTATGCTGAGCAAATAATCAAAGAAGCTGGACTATATGAAGGACTGTAGGAAGACTCATGACACATGCATTGTGATAATGCAGATGATACAACTTTGTTTGCTGAAATTGAAGAGGACTTACAAAACTCACTCATGAAGATCAAAGATCACAGCCTTCTGTATGGGTTGCAGCTCAATGAAAAGAAAACAAAAAATCTTCACAATTGGACTAATAAACAATATCCATATAAAAGGAGAAAAGATTGAAGTTGTCAAAGACCTCATTTTACTCAGATCGACCAACACTCTAGGAAGCAGCAATTGAACAAATGATGCATTGCATTGGGGAAATCTGCTGCACAAGACCTCCTCAAAGTGTTGAAGAGTACACATGACTATTTGAGGACTATGATGCACCTGACCCAAGTCATGGTATTTTCAATAACCTCATATGCATGTGAAAGTTGGGCAGTGAATAAGGAAGACCATAGAAGAATTGATGCATATGAGTTATGGTGTTGAAGGATAATACTAAAAATACCATGGACTGCCAAAATAACAATCAGATCTGTGTCCAAAGAAGTACAGCCAGAGTGCTCTTTGGAAGCCAGAATGGCCAGACTTTGTCTCTTATATTTCGTACATATTATCAGGAGGAACCAGTCCCTGAAGAAGGATCTCATATTTGGTAAAGTGGAGGGTCAGAGAAAAAGAGGAAGAACCCAGTGAGATTTATTGGTACAGTGGCAGCACCAATGGGCTTGATTGTGATGTTGGTACAGGACATGGAAGTGTTTTCTTATGTTGTACATAGCATCCTTATGAGTCAATACCACTCAATGGCACCTAACAACAACAAATGGCAGGGAAAATACCTTTAAAATATCAAAAAGAGCATTATAGTTTATTACTCAAAAGTAGCTGGATGTTAACAATAAAGTAAGATTTTTATCCCTCAAAAGTAAGTTTTAAGGGTTTTACATTGTCAAAAGCCCAAATACTAACACAAAAATGGAATCAAAGTAAGATTTTCATACACATTCTAGACACAAAGAATCTATCGCTTGTGTAAAATTTTATATCAGAAGAAACCACGATTTTCAAGGAACATCAAATAGTCTTTTTCAATTTATTATATAAGTACATTTTCCTGGGTGGTCAATATTAAATACTATAGCTTGAACTAAATTCTATTTTTTGTTTCCTTGGTATTTTCAGCATTCATATTATTCTAAGCAATTATAACATGAATATTTAAACCAGTATCTCTAGGTGTTTGGGTATTTATGAAATAAAAGGGTTTTTTTATTACATACTGAGGTCTTGTTTTTGCGCTTCCTGTCTCTTACAGTCCTTCCTTTTTTGTTGCTGGTAAAATAATGCAACGCTCCATATTCCATCAAGGCTGCAAAAACAAAAATGAAACAAACGGAAACAAAGAGATCCATTGCAGTCACGTAAGAAACCTTAGGTAACGACTTCCTGGCAATTGTACTCAAGGTTGTCATAGTCAGAACTGTAGTGATACCTATGGAAACAAAGAGAAGGAAAAAACATTGAAAAAGAACTTTAAATTTAAGATACTGTTTTTTATTCTGGCATCTGATTTGGCATACTGTTTTTTATTCTGGCATCTGATTTGGCAATGATGTGAACAAAAGGGTATGATTACTAGTGCTTTACAGAAAGACTTACATGTAACCAAAGCTATATTATATTCTATGTTCTTTGTGTCTCTGTAAATTTTAATCATTTAAATTACTGTGTATAATAAAATGTCTCTCAATAACCATACTTTCTTTACGTTGAAGTAAATCTTCAAAGTTTAGCTGACAACTAGCTGTGTACAACACCTTTTGTTTCTAGCTTCCTTTGCAGCTATATGTGGCCACATGGCTGAATAGAAGGCATCTTGGACCAATAAATGATTTGGAGAATTGAAGACATGCAACAACGTAAAAAGCTAGAAGAAGTCTTGTTCCTGCACAACAATGTCACCTATGGGCTTTTGCATGATAAGTAAGGACACTGGTACCTAATTTAAGCTATAGTGTTTGCAATACTTCCATTATGTAAAAGTAAAAGAAATCTAATCAAGTATAGGGGATTAATTTACAGTAATATTTATAGACTTGGAAACCCTATAAAGGGTTGTTATGAGACAAGATCAACTCAATGGCAGTTGGTTTATATCTCTATATCTATGTTGTTGTTAAGTGCCATCGAGTCGGGTCCGACCCATAGCGACCCTGTACAGGGTTTCCGAGGGTGTAAATCTTTACGGGAGTAGAAAGCCTCATCTTTCTCCCGCGGAGCGGCTGGTAGTTTCGAACCGCTGACCTTACGGTTCGCAGCCCGATTCGTAACCACTACGCTACCAGAGCTCCATATAGCTATATATAATTCATTGGTGGACAATATATGAATTTATTCATACCACTATACTAAAATATTCTCTTTTAACATTTATTAAACACTGTTTTTGTAATAAGCAGTGTTTTAGGGGCTACAGTGCAACAGTGTTAACAGATGTCACAGGAGACTGAACCTTACTCCTGAGAATAAAAAAGTTAAAGTGAATATAATAAATAAGGAGGTAAATGGACTGAACAGAGAATTTCAAAGAGCAGTTCCAGAAGACAAAGTCAAGTATTATAATGCAGTGTTCAAAGAACTGGAGTTAGAAAACCAGAAGAGAAGAACATACTCAGCATATCTCAAGCTTAACTAAGTGAACAAAAGACTCAAGCCTTGACTTGATGTATTGAAGGACTCCATGAGCAAAATATTGAATGATGTCTGCAGCCAAAGAAGATGGAAGAAATTTTACAGAATTACAGAATAGTAAACATAAGATCTAAAATCTGGAATCCTGTGGCATTTACATTTTTATGAGGGGTACATGAAATGTAGAAATATAAATGGAATTTAGTAAGACATCATTGAGTAGCAGCACAATGGCTATGAAGAGGAAGCAAAGTGAATGGTTGAAGAATGATAAGGAATCTAGGTTAATATGATGACTGCAGTTTTATATTGTAAAATCAGGAAAGTACTTTTGATGAAAAGGCTGTTAAACAGAGATCTGAATGAAGAATAGGAGCAATTAATATGCAGATATTTGGGGGATAGTTAGTCAAGCCAAGGCTAACTGAAAATTCAAAGATTTTAACCTGGGATACTCCTTGCCATAACATACTTGAGTGTCAGGAAGAAGACAATCTGGCTTTAAAACCAAAGGAAAATATTCATTGACAATGAGTCAATTCTGACTCATGGGGACGCTACGCAGGGTTTCTGAGACTGTAAATCTTTATGTGAAAATGCAGCCTAATATTTGTCCTATAGAGTGGATGTTGGGTTTGAACCTCGAACCTTGCAGTTAGCAGTCCAGTAACTAACTCACAGCTCTACCAGCCAAGGCTGACTAACTAATGGTAGAAAATAAGACTGAAAGGTAGTCAATGGTTTTAATTTTTTTTTGCATGACATTATATCCATTTCCAATTTTATACCTGAAGTTATAGAGAACAGTGATAGTATCTTGAAGACTGGGAACTTTCTCCTGTGGAGTGGATTGTGAGTTTAAATCACTGATCTTATACTTAATGGCCCAATGCCTAACTCATAGTGTCATCAGGACTTCATTAAAAGAGAAATAGATATATAACAAACATTAAAAAAAAAAAAGCCTCTTGATTCTCCATACCAAAAAGTATAAAAATTTTAAGCTGTTACTTGTCTTTAAAATTGGCATACCAGTATCTCAAAATAGTGAATTCTTATAGAAACATAGTGATTCCATAATTGGACTTCATCTTTCATGACATTCTGGCATATGGCAAAACAATATGTTAAAATTCACTTTGGAAAAAGTGGGAAGAGTATTAAAAAATAAAATAATGTTATGATGCCTGACTGCCTTATGGATATTGGTTTACCTTGCCTACTATTGTAAAAGAGACACTTGAGGAGGATAAAAACTAATATTGGAAAACATGAGTACAGAAAGCGTATAAGCCCATCTGCAGCCTATAATTGACTGGAATAACTAAAAGGGGTTCTAGAACTTGCCCTGATGAAATAGACTTCTTGCAGAGTCTTTTAGTGTATAGGACCTTAGGTGGAATCTTGAGCCCCATCTAGAACCTTCTGAAGTGGGACATGCAGACTAACCCTGAGCAGCTAGAGAACCAAGGATACTTTCTGAAAGACAGACCAGCATGAAAAAAAACAAAAACAAAAATGACAGTCTGTTTGGCTATTAGAGAAACAAGCAAGCAGATTGCTGGGGAGCCATCAAGTCCCTTCAGGACAAACCTGAAACTCAAAGGGAACATATGAGCAGACCTGCAAGCTTGTTGCTGACTGTGTTGGTCTATATGTGAGTGGAAGTGGAAGAAAGGCAGTAAGGAAGATATGGGCTGAGTTTGACCATGTTCCATAGACTCCTATTTACCTGGAGATGAGAGAGAGAAGAGGAAGGGCTACATGGTCCAAAGTTTGGGGAGAATTAGGAACTCTTGAACCCATGGACATTGGCCTAGCTACAGAGGATTAGAGCTGAGATTGAAGTGTCCAGCTGATCTGAGGTGGGGTGGTAATGGAAGGACACCCCAAACTGCCCAAACTTGTAGATAGTACCCACTTGACCTAGTTTGATAGCTTGATAACCAGAGCTTCACTGGAGTAAAACAAAGAAATTTGATAAAGGAAGGATGTGAAAATTGCCATAATTTGATGAACTTAGCCTGTAATTATGGGTGTAGTAGCTCAAAATACAGAGAGGTAAGGAGTCTTTACATCAAGGATCAAGCTTGTCACCAAGATATACAGTGTTGATAGGGACGGGCAATTTAGACTTGGCTAAACAGGGCGGG